CAATGTGGGAATGAAATGACAGAAGTGTTCATGTGGTGCTTTGTGTACATCCTGGGGGAAGAGTTGCGTGTGTGTGTGTGTGTGTGCACGCGCGCACGTGCGCGCATGTGTATCTGGGAAGGCTTTTTGGGGGAGGTGTTATCTGAGCTGTAACTTAATTAACAAGTAGGAAGTAATTAGGGGCTAGGGCTAGGGTGGGGGGTGGTAGTGGGAGAGGATGACAATTGGCCTGGAGGGACGGGCAGAATGTATCTTTCAGAAGTCACGTGCTAGAGCACTAGAAACAGGTTGAGGAATGGTCCCCAGGGGGTGGACTATGAGGGCATACTCTATGAGGGCTAAGGACCCCAGAGGTAGTATTCTGTAGGCAGTAGGGAGCTGTTCATTCATTCATTCAACAAACATTTCCTGAGTACCAACCAAGTACTGGGCACTGAACTTGATAGGCAGGATACAACGGCAAGCAAGAGTGACCAGCTCTGTCCTCAACTCTAGTGAGATTGAACTGGGAAGTGATATGAATCAACTCTTTAAAGCTGGGAGGGCCTGAATAAGACCAGCAATCACTAAGGTAAAAAATGAGAGATTTATTTGCGAACGACTTAGGGGTAAAAATGAACAAGACTTGATGGCTGATTGGATGTCTGGGGGAGGGGGATAGGTGTCATGGATGGTCCTTCAGTTTATACCATGGATAGATGGGGTTATACCTACTGGGATCAATAACAAAGAAGAATAAATAGGATTTTGGTCGGGAGATGAAGAATTTAGCTTTGGACTTGTTGAGTGAGGTGAATGTCTTTTCATGGAGAGGGTTTAGCAGATAGTTGGGCATACAAGTCTAAAGACCAAAGAAGAGATCCAGAAACACAAATTTTGTGGCATATGGGTGAGAACTCGAATTACGGTAGTGAAAGGAATTGTCTAATGAAAACATGAAAAGTGATATGAAGACCAGAAGTTATGGCCCAAGTTAAGGCATAGATGGTAAAGGGATGGAAAAGATGGAGAGAGGAAAAGTTACCAATAGATAACTTCATTCAGGAGGAAGGATAGTTTGGGAAGTTGCAGTTCATCTCTTGGAATATTGGTGGGCAGTAAACGATGAATGATTCAGGTTAGTTCCCTAAGCCTTGACTGAGAACAGAGCATGCACCGTACATTGTGCTGAGCTGAGAAAGGGAAGATCCAGATATTATCCTTGCCGTAGAGGAGCCTGTGGTCAAGGAGGTCATTGCCTCTATTTGACTACCAGATAGCACTATAATTGCCTTATAAATAAAAAAATACCACTCGATGAATCTTAGCATAGCATCATTAAAAAAACCCTTATTTCCAAGCATTCTTGAGAAATGATAGAAGGCATGGGAGTGTTCAACCCTTTGAAGAGAGAAAGCATGGGGAGAATCATATGCTTGTACCACATATTTAAAATGGCTGTCTTTTGGGGCTCCACAACTAGACAAAATGTGAGTAGAAATTAGAAGGAAATGAAACTAGTTTGTATGCTATATATTTATATAGTGACCAAGAACTTCCTGATGGAGCAAAGCTTCTCACTGGCTGCCTCCATTTATGACAAAAGAAATGATGTCTGGAGGACCACTGGGTCTCAGTGTCAGGTTAAAGTGTTGACTCCGCGATCTTGAAGGTGTCTCCAGCTCTGGCTTTTCCATCTAGCCCTGTGAGTGTCTCCTAGAGTGGTGGTTCTCAGTCTTTTAAAGAATCACATACCCCTTTCACAATCTGATGAAAAGTTATGGACATTCTCTCCAGGGGAAAAAAATGCAAGTATGCCCATAAACACAATTATTGCTAAAACAAGACCCCCCAACCCACCCCAAAGTCTTTAGGAGGTCTCTGGACTTCAGGTTAGGACCTCTTGTCCTAATAGATTTCTAATAGATGGGAACATAGGTATGAATTACTCTGAAATTACATACACTGAAGAAAAAAGCCTCTTTGGGACTTAATTCAGAACCATGACTATAGTTTGCTATACATCTAATGCAATGCATCATTGATTTTATCCTGTCAGCCTTACTTTACAAGTGGCCCCAAGCAACTCACAACTTCACAGATATATGTACATAATCATATGCACATATTTTATTTTAAAAATAATAATGATGCTGTTTGGTGTAACCACAGAGAGTCACAGAGATATGTTATTGTAACTGAGATTCTCGGGTAGTTGGAATTTGGGGGAGTTCTTTCTGATTAGGGCTGTCTTACATATTTATGCCAGAAGAGTTCATGAGCTATTTCTGATACTTAGACTTTAATCATGCTTAATGAACTGAACTAAACATAATTCTTGTTCTGTTTTGGTAACCTTGTGGATTTCTCCTAATGCTCAGTTTTGTATGACTATACCATTCTTGAAATGCTAATACCCAAAATGCTAATTCAAGAGAGGACCACAAAAGTTAGATTTCATTTCAGAGAAGGGCATTCAGTATTCACAGGCCTCTCTGGAAAAGCAAGGCAGCGAGAAGAGTGGTATTAGGTGGAAAATATTGGCTCCTACCTTTGGTGAACACACAAATTTAAACATATAGGTTGCACAAAATTTGGATAAACTGAGGTGGAATCCAACATTTCTTGCATGAATGCCTGTATAATGTGGCGATAGCTGTGAGAAAAGAGGAGCCCGGCATCTAAGACCCAACACAATGAAAATGCAATGAATCGGAATGCCTCACAGATCATAGCGGAATCAGAATTTCCAGCAAGGAAAATCTTTTCATGGTGAATTAAGTGGTGGATGAAGAAAAATGGTGATGAAAAAAGGTAGGCACAGATCACAAACACTGGGCTCAGGGCTCACTGCTGAAGATTTAAGAACCTTAGCTAAAGCTATGCAGAATAGAATGTGGAAAATTGAATTTACTAAACAATTAAGCATTGAATTAATCTACATCCTGCACAGTAGAAAAGTGGGGGAGGGAGCAGAGCAGAGCTGAATAAATCAGTGGAGCTCATTAAAAGATAGTGAATATATCAGGTCTGTTGTAGCATAAAGGAGGACAGTTTCCTGTATAACATGGAATAATTCTTGGGTTCTAAGTCACCTTTCTGGAGTCCTAGTCTTAATCAGATTAACAAACTTGCTTCTGATGAGGTTATTCTGTTGCTCTGTATTTTAGCTTGTTCTCGGTAGCCTTTCTATTAATTACGAGTCAGATCACCAGTCAACAATAGTAGTGAGGGACAACATAAATAAAATGAGAGAGCCCAGGAGATGTCACTCGCAGGATCTCATGCATCCTGAAACTCCCACGGGTTCTTGCAGCCTCCCACATGCCTTGCCGGTCTTTTGTTCAATTACAGTTAATGCAATACTTTGCCATTTTCTCCTTCTAATTATATTTTCAAGTGGGATTTGTAGCACATAGAAAAACATCCTTTTACATGTCGAGGCACCGGGGTTTTGTGCCTGGCATTGTCTGTCCCCTGGGCGCTGTACCATTCTTTCTGCAGAGCTCTGAGTAAACAAGTCCCCCTTTTAGAGCTGCAGTTGTACAAACTGAAAATTTATGCATTAACTGTTTGCATTCTGAGCATGTGTTCCAGATTACGTCTTCCAGCATTCTCCTGACATGCTGCAGAATGCGTGTTTGTCAAAAGCTCCCCTCTCACGGCGCGCCTATCTTTCCATCCCAGCATCAGCGGATCAGTTAGCACCATTTTTGAGAATATGCATAATGGTTGAGCTGGACACACAAGTGGTGGCTCTTTCTGCAACTCTGCTTCATTCTGGGGGGCCACGTTAGTCTTCTGGCCAAGGTTGTAGAGTGGGTGGCAGGCAGGCATTCCTCTTCAGGAACGGGGACTCTTCCCTTTGATTGGTACGCAGCACGCCTGGGCTCTTCCCCTTTCTTTCTCTGGGTGTCACAGACATTTTGACCCCTCAGCCTTTCTTATCTTCTCTGGGACACGGAAGTACTTCTCGAGACAGAAGCGAAGAGCACTCTGATTTTGCTGGGCACATTCAAAGCGTTGGGAGGGTCAGTAGACTTTACTACTACGCAGCCATGAACGGGGACAGCCTGGGATTGAGACGAGGTGGGCCTATTTTACACACAAGATCATCCTGCCTTGCCACTAATAATCTTGGAGACAAACACCACTTCCCAGCCAAGGACCAGCTTTCTTTTCTGCATCATTCCTACCGTGCGGGATGACCAGTGACTCATAAGACTGTTTTTGAAACCTAGCGCTAAAAGCTAATTAAAATCTTTTCTGGTGATAAAGGGAGATTTGGGAGAAGTGTTGCCATGATTGTTTTCCCCAAGAATTTAATTTACTGCCAATTTTTCCTATCTGAATGTTACTTTCAAATGCACCCAGTGATAAGAAGCAACATCTGTTTTCCGTTCAATAGTACAAGAAGGCTCGGCATGGGGCTGAGTGTACACAGTCCATGTGAATCTATTGTTATTCTCATTCCTTTTTTGTCCCTGTGCCTGGTCCATTTGCCATGTACCATCCGGCAAACAGCTGACACATACTAGCTATTATGGACCCCGGCCTAATTGTGAGTCTTAAAAGCTCTGCCATGTTTGTCTTCCAGGGTGAATCAGAGGCCTCTGTAAACCGCAGTGTTAGAGACCACTGCTCTCATTTTGCATTTTCAGAACAGGAGCAGACTGTTGTGCCAGAGGGTTTGTTGACGTTAAAAATATAGTCAGAATCAAGTGGCAGCACTCCCCGCCCCCACGTCTTTGCCTGGAACGTTTTTGTTTTCCTTGGTAATAAAGCATACAATTACTTATAGAATAACTATTCGTAGATATTATTTTAGCTCAGAGGCAGAAACTGGCCAATTTTAAATGTGCCAACGTAGCTCCGAGCTGGCGCCGTTTGCGGAGGGGAACGGGAAAGGTGGGTTGGCCGTCCGGCCTAGGCTTCCCTGGCTTCGTCACTGTATGATGGGATCCCACTGGACCAGTGTTAACAGACCACTCTATTTGGATTTCTGATTTGTGCCCCTACAGCCCTCTTGGAACAGAGATCACGATGACACAGCATCGACTCGTTCGGGAGGAACCCCGGGCCCTTCCAGTGGCGGCCACACATCGCACAGTGGGGATAACAGCAGTGAGCAAGGTAGGAGAGGTGTTCTCATTCTCTCGTGCTACTCGTTTCATTTTTAAGGGTTGAAAAATCAGAAATGTCTAGTTAGTTCCTATTAATCCAGTTTCTCCTAGAACATAAGCCCTTTAGAGTAGGGGAATCAGCTTCTCTTATTTGTTCCTCCAGACCCTTTCTTCTTTTGTGCCACCCCAGCTGCCTAACTGGCCATCACCTGCTCACCTCCAGAAAACAGGGTCGGTGAATTGACTGGGGGCAAGATTAGAGGAGATTAGAAGTTCAAGTGTGTGTAAAGAGCATGCGCACTATTACCCTGCGATACAAATAAAAAAAGTATTTTTATTACCTGCCCTTAGAGGCTTCTCAAGAGATCATGAAGAAACATCTTTCATGATTCCAAGTCAGTGATGTCTTCAGATGCTTAGAAGGCCGTAGCCTTTTGGGAACCCATACTGGGCTTCCCTCTCCACCGGGTTGAGGCTGTTTTTTTCCGGATTTGCTTATCCGAATCTCTTAAGTGCTTGACTTCATTGCAAAGTCAGACTACAGGGAATTAGGGAGAAATGAAAAGAAGCCAGATCCATTTAGCTCGTCCTGTTCCTTGAATGCACATACCTGTGTGTGTACTTGGGCGTCCATGGCTATGCACGTCTGACCGTGACTAGTAGGAAAGAAAGTTTTAACATGTAGTTCATCTTCAGCGAAAAGGCGAATGGGTATTCAGATGTCTTGTGCTGCCTTCAGTGAGACCCACTGCAGAGGAATTTTGCGTTCAGTTAGCGCAACCAAAGCTTAAGAGCGTATTCTCTATTTGAATATAAAAAGACGGCTTTATTAAAGTTGACTCTGAGCCCACAGTACGTGCATACTTTAAAATCCGGTGTGATGATGGCGTGCCACTAGACAACAAAAGAATTTTGTTTTCTCACATACATTGGGCTGGACCAATTAGATTTGCAAAGTCTAAAATGAATTTGACATCATTAATTGGAAAACAAAACTAGGAAAGCCTTTTTTTTTTTTTTAAGGCACGTGTATGCTACTTGGACTGGGAATAACTTCTACACATAGAATTTTAAGCATCTGAGATATTTTATTGTTCAAAGGAAAGTTGCTGACTTCACCACAACTCTGAGTGTAGTAAAAAATGGAGCCCACGATAGTAAACGCGTTGAGAGCTGAGGCAGAAACATGTAACCTCTGACCTCTGACTTTTACTGGAAACTGATATGCAGCATAAATCCATGGGGCCTTTTCTCTTTCAAGTGTGTGTATGTATGTGTGATGGTGTTGAGGCTCCCGGGGCTAGAACTAAGGTGATGTCGGCACTTTCAATAGGAAGCCCTATTTTCAGCTTCTTCCATGAGTTTCCAAAAAGGTGGAAAAGGGATCTAAATTCTTCTTCCTGTACTCCAAAATTGCTACATGAGGTCATAGCCTCTTGTTTTATCTGTTTGTTTCTTTTTCTTTTTCGTTTCTTGCTTTAAAATATATATATATGATCTATCATCTAGGAACAGGCAGGTAGCTTAGCTGCTGCTTTGATAGCTTGCGAACTGCTGAAACGGACTTGAATGTAAAATTGTAGCATATGTGCTTTCTCCAGCGTAATCTGATGAAAGGATTTTGAGAGGCCAAAGGCCCTGTCCTAGTTCTTCCCCTGTGACATGTCATAACAGGGAATTGGGAATTTTGCATGTTTCCTTTTCCTTCAACAAGTGTTATCCAAAGGCCAATTTAATAAGGAATTTGATCGTAACCTGGAGACATGTCTCTTTACATTACCTGAGTTTTCTAATTACATTATTTCTCTTTTGTACTTTTCACATCAGATCACCACCTATTCTGCTTTTTTTTTTTAAAAGAATTTTCCCATAAATGATATCATCTGAATGAGCTCCGTTGAGCCTTTCTAAAACAATCCTGGCCCCATTTGACAGAGGAGGAAAATAAGGTATGGATGCACTGAGAGCTTTGGGTCTCGGGCAGCATCAGACCCCAAATTTCAGTTTCCTGATTATTTGTCTAAGATTGTTCTCCTCATGCCCTCTTTCTTGGCTCTCCACTGAGGAATGAAGCCAATGACTCCCACTGTGATCCAAAAGAAGCCTTCTGTGTAGACTTTCCCCCCCAGCCCCCACCCAACACCTTGAGAGCCGAGGCACAGAAGGCCCTCCTGTGGTCTTACCTGCCCTTCTCTGTGGCTTCTCCTCCTGGGCAGTGTGCTTTCTCTCTGGCTAAATGCAGAATGATGCCTGCAAGTGTTGCTGCTACTACATCTGTGCATTTCCATGCCAACCGTGACCCTTCTAAACCTTTTTTCATCCCTGAGACCTGTGGAGCTGGGTCTTTGTGCAGCCTTCAGATTAACTGTGCACAGTGGCTTTTCCATGTTTGCCCTGCCTGCCTTTTCTGGCAGCCATAGATATGTAAGCTGTGCCAGCGTTTGGCCCGTAATGCATGTCCTGAATAGTTATTTACACAGTTTGAGTCCATTTTAGTCAACTGGGTAAATAACAGCCCTCTTCAAAAGATTTATAAATCCATAAATATGTCTTTATACATACCCAATAGACAGAAATAACTCAATCTGTCAAGAACATATCCAAAGAGGTGTTTCCCCCACAGACAGGAGTAATATATATTTTAAAACTTTCTCTCAGTGTTATTTGTACTGTGTTTCTTTTTCCTCATTCCTTTTCATTTTTCACCACTTCATTATGGCACCTGTGGTACAAAAAACAAAACAAAAAAAAAAAAACCAAAAAAAAAAAAACCAAGCACAACAACAACAAAAAACCAAAAAACAGAAAAGAAATCCCTAGGCTCTAGTCTTCTGTTACTTTATCTGCGCATGACATAGGCATGAAGCAGGCTATATCTCAACCAAGTCCTGTTCTTTTGGACTTTCAAAGTTTAAAAAAAAAAGAAGTCATTCAGGAAATTTGTAATGTTCTGACAGATTTCAAAATACAGTGACAATTCCTAGTGAGGCTTCCAGCAATTTGGGGGATTTTGAGTGCCCGATGACTTGCCAAATTAGCAGCTGTTGTGGTTGATGGAATAGTTTTAGTCCAAATTTTTATCTAATCATAAAAATATAAAAGAGAAAATCCAATGCTGGGCATTCTAAAAAGAGTACATGCAAGATACATAATTAAGAAGATGCTAAAGACTATTATTCTTCAGGGATTTGATGTTTATTTATGATTTACATAATACTCCTTTCCCCCCAACTCAAACCGTTTATCGTGGTAACTTTTCTGATGGTCTCTACTTTCATTTAATGTGAACACTTGTGGCCGTTTGCAGAAAGTGATTCTTTGACAGTGAAGCTCCTTGAAGCTGGCATTGAAAAGGAAGGCCTCACGCCTGTATTTGGTTGGGGTTCTGGTGATGTTGCTCTGACATTGATTCTGGGTACTCCTTCACTTCCTCAGAGCACTGCCGAAGCTACGACATTGGATCCTGATTTTATCCTTGTCTCTTATTTGCCCCTTTCCCATTCCAGAAGAGAAAAAAAGTAAGCTCAGAAATACTGAAGTAACAGTCAGAGTCAACTCCAGGATCTTGTCTCTTGGCTTTGCTTCGTGACCCCATTAGGATGGGCTGTTTTCACGACCCCAGGCGGGGTCTCACATATAAGATGAGGTGCATATTGGCAGACACGTGACTCCTTCCTCTGTCTTTTTTCTCCTACCATGTGCAGCTGCCCTACTGACCAGAACCAGGGTCTCCTCTAGGAAGCATGTGGCTTGGAGCAGGAGAACACCAAGCACATTTGGTGTCTCTCCCCACCGTATTTGGACTCTTTCCCAAGAGGGTTGCCATAGTCACCCTATAACTCACAAGCAGTTTTGGTTATGACTGACCATGGTTTGCATTTGGACGTGTCTTCCTTTTTTTTTTTTTGGTTCAATGTCAAGAGAGATGAGTATATGCTAGCAATAAAATAACACAATAACATGTTAAGGGCTATCTGTCAGTGTAGGCATTTCCAACCCTCACTTCGTAAAAGAGATCACAAAGGTTCAGAGAGGCTAGGAAACTTGCCCAAAGTCATATACGGGTCAGTAGTAGAGTCAGGACCCGAACCCATACAGCGTGACTCTAGGGCCCATGCTCCTGAGGCCTGTGTTCTCTGGTGCTTTCGTGTGGCGAGGAATGGAAAACAGATCGTTGATGAACCCTCTTTCTCTTACCAAGTTGAGGCCTCTTTCAACAGTGTTTGTACCAGGCCTGTCCCTGTCTCTGTAATGGTGAAGGAGCTGGTAATAGGCCAGAGTCAGCGTTAGCGTCAGGGGGGTTATACTCTGCTGGGGAGTGAGAATCTAGATTCTAGTGTTAAGTAGAATGAGAGATTCACAGAGAAATGTGATGATTGATATAATTAATTTGTATTACGTATTAAGAGCCTATACCATTTCACTCATTCACAGATTTATTGAATCGAAACTAGGAGCATACAAAACAAATAAGGACATTTCTCTTGCAGAGCATTCCCCATTTAAAGCTCATCTCATTTTCCTCTTTTGTGAGAAAAAAGAGAAAGTATTATTTCTATGTTGAAATTTGATATAAGGGGCACCTGGGTGGCTCAGTGGGTTAAAGCCTCTGCCTTCGGCTCAGGTCATGATCCCAGGGTCCTGTGATCGAGCCCCACATCGGGCTCTCTGCTCGGCAGGGAGCCTGCTTCCTCCTCTGTCTCTCTCTCTCTGCCTGCCTCTCTGTCTACTTGTGATCTCTGTCAAATAAATAAATAAAATCTTTAAAAAAAAAAAAAAGAAATTTGATATAAAACATCTCAACCTGAAAGGGCTTTAATGATTGCTGAAACCTCTAAAACCCACTTCTGAACTTCTCCTTTTGGGGGGCAGGACTCAGTTCAACAATAGTATCTTTGCTCCTACTTAAAAATAAAAAAGCAAGACCAGCATGTTTCTTTAAAGAGGAATAATTGAAAAGTACTGCTATTTCTTTGTAATAATGTGTGATAGTTGCAATGCCTCCCAGTG